TGAACTTCTCATGGAAATTCGAATCAAGAGCCAGATATATCGGTAGAGCTTCAAACGCTTATTACAAATGCGGAAAACAAAACTGCAAAATGAACTTGCCAAGGAAGCAGTGAACTTATGAGCAGTCAAAGAGCACCGTTCATATGAAACTTTTTTCGAGCCAACTTTGACTGCCCATAACTTACTTGGCAAGTCCATTCTGCAGTTTTGGTTTTCATATTTGTGATCAGTCTTTGAAGCTCTATCGACATATCTGGGCCCCGATTCAAAGTTCCATGGGAAGCTGAATGGCCTTTCTTTTGAGGGCCACGGCTTCTGATCTTGACTGATGTATGTTTTGTACTTCCCGAGACCTTGCCCACTTATTCCACACTTGACTCGGGTCTCTCCAGATGTATCTTCAGGAGTTAGGGAAATTCGTGACAGACAGACAGACAGCAGACAGGCGAAGCGCTCCATAGTAAGTAGGATGGCGAATGCAGCAGTTGTGGCTCGTGGAATTTTAATTTTTTTTTCGCTGTCTTCCTTCGAAACTTACAAATATTCTTTGCTGGGGAATTTGTTTGAAGTGATGCTAAATGGCAACACTTTTTTTTCCAGTGACGAGGCTGTCAATTTTGTATCGAAGTGCCTGAAAAAACTACCTGCGCGAACGAGCGAATCTCAAGTCGCTGTCATCGGATCCGTTTTTATCAAATACGCTGATGTAGACGACAACGGCGAATTTGCAAATTTTGTTACGGAGACTATTTCAATTCAACCGGTACAATAAGACCAACGGTACGTTTTTAGAGATTAATCACTAGCAAAAAATTTTTACAGGGAACACACACATATGTTTTTTTTTGGGGGTGGGTTGGTGTTTTTTTATAGATTTCTTATGGCAGAGTGGTCCATGCAATCTGTCATGCGCTCGTCATTGGTATTCTACTGGGTTGAATTAATGCAGCTAGATTGCAAAATTAAGGTGGCTGGGAGGTAGCCCGTATTCAGCGGCTGTAGAACTGACGGAGTCAGACCAGACTGGTATAAAAATCAAATGGAAAGGTCGCAGGGTACTGCCGAAGGACGCATCCCAGGGAAGCCTGTTCAAGACTCTGGGCCGTTCTAAGATAAATTAAACTTATCAATTTTGTGACGGTAGCAATGATTGAGCAGCGGTCGTCGGTTTCTTATATACCTTGCGACCGCTAAAGAAAACTGTTTAGGTAGGTACGGGGGAAGACAAATAATGGATAACAGAGGCTCCTTAAATTTAATAACCTTTGAGTCTGATAATACTATAAACTCCACGCGGCTTGCCCTATAGGGGCGTTGTGACCTTGGTTGGGATTCCTGAAATATACCCGGTTGATTAGGTCTTCAAATGACATTTTATCGGCATCAATTTCCTAAGTGTTTTTTTTTCGCTTCCACAAAGAAATCTTTTTTCAGTGTCTAAGCTTCGGAGTTTCGCCTGTCCGTGAGACGATCGTGTGCACGACTGCTCAGGCAGCTTTACCGATGTCAGCTCCTTGTTTCCTGGTGATGTTTTGAATTCTTGTCAAAGAAGCCTACTTAGTCATCAATTTTTTCATTGCACTTCCTATTTGTGGTTGTGTATTGCATTCATCTTATGCCTCACTGTGAACATTGAATTAGTCAGCAGCTATGTGCAAGCGTAGTTATGAAATAGTCAGTGCCACTTGGTAGCACGCAAATGATCTATTGCTTTCTACTGGTGATGTTTCATGCTCGAGCGTATATTTTTGGCTTGCTCCTGATTTCTTCAGGGATAGCTAGAGCTCATTGGGTGGCACTTCATTTGATGAAGAATATACGAATTTACAAGATATCAGGACAGCTTTACCTTCGGTGTACTGTGGAATTTTGAATGTTGTTGTCTGTTTCCAATTACACTGCTTCCAATATTCAGCAGTGGGGTGGTGGATCGTGCCGCGCTTGCAGCACTCTCGAATTTGAAAAAGAACACGAACCTACACTAAGCTACGCTTGGTTAGTACATTCTATGCGGTCTAGTGAAATGATGCTCAAACATGAAGGGGACGAAAAGTTGGTTGTTGGAGAAATGGAAAGGTAGAGATGTTCAAAAGTGAAGCGGTGAAACAAAAACCAGGGGAAATGATCCAAAACCTGCAAGGCGGGACTCTCATTTTCCCCATTGTTTTGCGCTTTGAGCGAGTCATCTTGATGCTGGCGTCATCATCGTGGATTCTCTAACCTAACTTTCCGCTAAATCGGCTAGAGTTCGATGGCGAGGAACCAGGGCCAGCGATAGTCAGTCGTTGGCAGCAGAAAGAAGGCGTCGAAAGGGACGGTGAGGGTCTTATTGGGCCATTAGGGGCGCGTCCGTTGCCCGCGACAAGTGCACGTTTAGCTAACTTGGAGGCACAAAATTTCTTGTTAGTCATAGCGCCGTCAGTCTCAAAACTATCAGAAAATCCGTCTTGTTTTGACTACAAAGCCATTTTCTTTCTTCTAAACTTCCTAATCCAAATATCGCTTTTCCCTTGTTTGAGACTCAAAAAACCACATGTGGACTCAGACTTGCTGCCCTTGATGCAGTTCACTTACACCTCTTGCTTAGTAGATCAACGAACTCTTAAAACAATAGTTATAGAATGAATCTAATAATTCTAATGAACAGAACGCATAATCGTCCTTATTTGAATGCATATCCATTACTTTTCGTGGACTTCTCGAATCGTCGGTCTAACGTATATGATGAACCTATCCCATGTCGAGTCTTATCTAAACTATGATGGAACTGTGATTGGAAACAGCTTCGCTGAAGAGATATTTTAATGTTTTCTCACTAACATGTAAGATTAATGCATGTGTCCGGAATGCTATTGTTCTATAAGTTGTTCACATAGCTATCATATTTATTGCTCTTCATAATCATTTTTCCTTCTTCGACTCCGTTGCACTGATTGTATGTCGCCCTGCAATAGCGGAAGATCTTCATATACGTTTTTTTTTCATATTGTTATTTTGTACCATTTGTATTTTTTTTTTCAAAAATTGTTCACGAGCTGAATGAATTTTACAAATAATTTATGGGTATTTCCATGTTTATTAAGGGCTTACACCCCATTTGTTCATTCTTGTGGTTTTGCCTTCGTTTGCAACTATGCTGAACTATGGCATGGCAGATCGTCTTTGTGTGCCTTTTTCCCTTTTGCTGGAGGTAGAAGAAGAATGGTACTCCGCTATGCACAACTTTTTGCCGCGCTCGAGCGATTAGAGTCACGCACTGCCACGCCTCCGCATTCGGGATACATAGTGGGGGCTTTCCCCATTTCTACAGGTACGGGGCTTCATTCTCTGTTCTGCGCGGCTTGCGTTACTTAAAGCAACAATCCAGGAACGAATTCGCGGGTAAGGACCACCTATAATGACGTTGCAGGTGAGAAGTTGGTCAATGGAGAAAGAAAAAGTAGAAAAAACGTCGGGCAGGGGCTTAGACAGGGACTCCCCCTGCCGTTTAGGGAGACGTGTGTTGGACGAGTTGTCCGAACCTGCCCGTAGTACATGCGCTCCAATTGCAACTGCTGGCAAATAGCCATGCATGCTTGCAAATACATAACTATTTGCCAGCAATCGAAATTGAAGCGCTTCAATTGCGTTCTTATGGAATCGACCTCATACAGCGCGGCGGTCCCGCAACGACCGCTAGTCAAGCACGGACTCTGCACAGCGTATGTTGGGCGATCCGCCTCGGTATGGGTGATCCGCCCCCTCCAAGAGGACTTCGACCCCTTCCAGCGCATTTTAGAGGTAGGTTTTGAACTTAAAGACATTTCCTATAAACTTTAGTTGGGCTGGGGCATGTTTTGACCGCCTAATGACCAAGTAGTTGAAACCCTGCCTGGACTGTTGCTTTAACGTACGTAGGTACACAGGTTTATGGTTCCTAATAAGCCGGGTGATTGGTATGCCCCTGGTGTTCCTAACAGTTACTGCCTGGTGCATACTGTCCATCTAGGACCTCCACTAGGAAGAGATGAGCATTTCAACTTGGAGAGTTTCTTGGGCAAAAGCCAAGTTTCATGTAGGTCACGTAGTTTCATGTTGGCAACTGGCAACTATTGCGAGCCCATCCCCTTTTTGGGAGTTGTGGTGACTCGTGGGACCCTCAGCTGAGGACTCACTTTCCCCACAACTCCTAACCTCCCTTCCCGTCTGAACAATACATTGTCAATTCCACAAAGTCCCCTTGCCTAGTAGGAGTGCCAATTTTACCGCGTGAGTCCTTGGGTTTGGCTCACTCTGCGGTGGACATACTTGCTGGAAGCTAAAACTGACGCATCCCTTGATTTTTTGCTGAACTGGTTGCTCGATGACGCGCTATTGCGAAACCGCGTGCTTGGCTAACGGAGAGGGCCACTTTGCAGAGTTTTATATGTTAATAGTCCTTTACTGAGTTCAAATCTTCGTGTTCTTTTCTAAGACTAGAGACTAGATAACAATAGTTGATGCGTATTCAGATTTTGTAACCTACCTCTCGAGTGAGAATGGGTTTCGGCTTCTTTTCGTCCCGTTTGTAGAAATTAGAGAACGCGCCCCCACTACGAATGTTATGGCGGACCAAGGGGATTATGAAATGTGAAGCCTGAAATGACTCTTTCAGGACGTCGCCCTCTAAAAGTTTGTTCGAATCGCTAGCGATTGTCTGGCCCTGCCTTATGGCGTCAATTTTAGAAATTGGGATATGTATTATCATTTGTCCAAGGTGCGGGTTCTATTGTTATCATAGGTCGTACGTGATGGTCTACCTGTATGACCGTACACGGTAGATCTAGCCGGACCACCAGTTGTTGGTCTGTCTGTGACCTTCGTGACCTTCCTACACAATCGTACCCTTGTTACTGTCCCGGGAGGGCCTCCCCCTGTTATAATTTACTACCGAGCTAGAAGTGCGGAGTTTTTGTCCTACTAATCGGCACTCTCTGAAAATACGGGGGCTTGGATGCTACGTAAAAATCTAGGGGCGTCTGCGAGACGGCGGTCGCGACACGGCTGTGTTACTGGAGCGCGCCAATCATCCACCAGTACTGTTTCGGCCGTTACGGTGACCTATTGGGTTATTTGGGGCCCCGATCACGAATATGACACTCATTTTCGACATTCGTGCTGTTTAACGCATACTTTCTGCTTTTCTAAGCTTTCTCACCTACAGCGCCTAAGACTAAGCTTAGGGGAGGGGAGTGAAACTCCGGAGTGGGTAAACCACGCACCGTGTGGCAAAAGTTGGAGTGTGTCAGACCACAGGGGAGTGGCCTACTCACTTTGGAGCCCTCCACTATTCAAAGGCTTAGTCCTGATTGCGATCTAATTAGTGCGAGGGCGCAGACGAGCAGGAAATAGGCGCCGAATAGCGCCAACAACAAAAACGAATGTCATATTCGTAATCAGGACCCCAAATAACCCCTATACAGAAGTTTACAGCGAATTTAGTGGGAATCAGTTGTGGCGCCACCTGGCGCCAAATGGCGCCAGCGCCAAAAATGAATATCATATTCGTGATCAGGACCCTCGATAACCCCCATAGCCGAAGTTTCAGCGAAAATTATTTTTTGACCCATCTCACCCCTACTGGGGTTGTAATAGTGCAATAGTGCCGAAATTAATTTTCTTCGTTATTCAATGTATTGCAACTTTTGTTTCGGCGCGGACGAAGTTCAAAACCTCGAGGCCACCTCCATCTATATTGACTTAAAATGCATCAGCACAATGTCCTTTACAGATTGCATAATTTGCAAAAAGGAGATTCAAGGGTTTCCCATCGTGATGTTTCACTGAAAATGGAAATAACAGCAGGGATCTGTTGAAAAGCCTTCTCGTTAACGTGCTTACATTACATGCACGTTTACGAAGAAGTTGGTCAAAATTTCACGTTTTGAGTCTCGTATGCATTCATTGGCGATCATTTGTAATAAAGTGGGTCAATCCAGTTTCTTTAGAATCCATAAAAACCCAGTGCGCAATCTCAAGTGGGCTCCTCCGATACTATGTGAGTTGAGCGTGTAACGGGCCAACCTGACTTCAGTGGCCGGGAAAACAACAAAAGGTAATGCGATTGTCATTAATATAAATGAGCGGTAATAGCCCTTAGCGAGTAGTGACTTCTGCACATTAAAATCCTGTTGTACATATATCGACTCTGCCAGCGAAGACATCTTCAAATCGACGCGCACTCTCAATCTGTAAACAACAATCTTTAGGCCAGCTGCAACTCAGCACTTGAGCGCGGGTTACGGTATCGTAATAACTTCGTATAGCATACATTATACACCATCCACCCTGCCTGCAGAGACGCACGCGAGGGTCGACGGCAGTGACCGTCCCGCACGGTTGCGTCATAGGAGCCACCGAAAAAGCGATGGGTCTTGCGACGAAGTAGGGGATATATCCCCAAGGTTGGGGATATATCCCCAAGGTTGGGGATCATATCCCCTAGTTGGGACAGGAGGATCCCCAAGGTGGATCCTCCCCTAATTGGCTGCTGAACCCTGCCCCTGATGTCACGATTTCGGATCCTAAGCTGAGTCGGAGGACAGGAAAATGATTTCAATGATGCCGAACCTGGGCTTCTGAGCTCGCGATCATCTTAAAAAGGAATTTCACATAAAAAATGAATTTTTCCATTACTGAATTTCAACATAGCGCAAGCGATAGCGCACTTCGCAAATATGTTGATCGATATTTGAATCATCGAGTTCCACCTTTTCCTGCTTCACGACAGCCTGTTAACGTCAAACAGCAAACAAGAATGAAGGGGGCCGAATCTTGTATCTAAATTTCTATACGCCGCAGAACACCTGATTAATCGATTGACGATTATTTGATCGAAAATAGAGTGGCGGTTGCAATGGTGCTAAGAGCCAAGGTATAGCCAATTTTTATTCCAATAAGCGTAGAAGCGACGTGCTCTCGGAGCCTTTCATTTTATTGATTATATCCGAGTGAGGAACTGTTCAGGTCATCTGTCCGCGCAGTTCTTCGAAGATATGCAAGAACAAGCAAAATTGACGCTCAAAGATGTGAAACAGCTCTTAGAATCCCTCTTAGCGAATATGCTACGATTTCTTGTTCTCTACTGTGTGCACGGGCTCAGTTTGCGAATGCCAATATCGCGAAATACACATCCCAAGTAAGGGTTTTATCCCTCGCTATAAGAGATCAAAGTCACGAAAAATGTCAATACCAGGAGAAATCATGTATAAGCTGAGATATCCGGTCTAAAAGAATATGCGCAACTAGAGTTCTGTAATCAGATGAGGTAAAAACTATGTTTCTTTCACGATATCCTGCAGTCTTTCATGAACTCCATGTTCATGATGTCATCCTCTTCTCTCCGCCTCCTGCCTTGCAGGATATTTGATCGTGTGGAGCGTTTAGCGGGAGCTAAGGCTTCCTCGCAGTTGTCTGACTCCTGGCCAACGGAATCGCTGAGTGGCTATTCTCTGACGCCCATAGACTCACCCCTACCCCGCCACCCGCCCGACCATCAGCCTGTCGCTGAAATATTCATCACGTCTGTCCACCGTAGAGGAAAAGAATTGGTCCGCCAAGACCGGCACTCGCAAAGCAAGGCCCTCCAGAGATAGAGTGGTGGATCAAGAATCAAATTCAAGCTTTCAAGTCAAGAATGTCAAGAGCACCATTATAGGTTGTAGGGATTACGTTCCTCTGCTACAAAGTTTTTAGAAATAATAATATATCTTGCTAGCCAGAGTGTTAGTTAAAGAAACATATAAGCCACCAAGCCACTTAGTCTGATGAAGTGATACTCTCAAACACGTCCTCTTCTATCTATCTACTGTAGATCTTGGAATCCTCTGGTATAGTCTAATTCCTCAACCTAAGCTCATTCCCGCCTTATTTCGTGCAGTTCCCACAATTTCTTATTGGGAACTCTAACGCACAATCAAAACCAAAGTCATCAATCAAGTGCGGATGCCCGTGGCACGATCACACTTGGTGAACAGGCAAATCAACTCATTCGGAAGCTTGTCTTGTTTTTAGAGCTGATTCGGTCACAGAGCATGCAGGATACAAACTCCATATTTCCATAGAATGCGTGCCACATCCCAAAAAGGGAATGATCAACGGCAAATGCTTTATAACGCTTATTTTTATATTACCAGTTTGGCTGCGCACGCATTCGCGTGCATGAGACGGGGCTGCAGCGGTAAAATCGGGCCCATCAGTATTTTTGTCTTGATTTTAGCTTTCTGCTCGGTACATCTTACTTACGCCGCAAACTCCGCCCACATCCGGGTGTGCCACGCCCAGCGTTCACATTCAACCTCTACTCCTACTTTCACCTCTGGCGTATTTTTTTCAGGTCTCTAAGTCATCTCGGAGCCGAATTATGAGGTCTTGTAAATGGCGTTATGAGTCACGAATTTCTGAGGCAGACCCGCCCACTTTGGTGCATGGCTTAGCCCAACCAGAATGCATCAAACCACTCCATACACTCACTACTTAGCACATTTCCGCCCGGTTCGCCGGAACCTTCTAGAAGCGCGCGCTAATAATTCCTTAATTGCGAAACCTTGGGGGAAATAGTTAGGCTAGTATCCTCCTCGACTTGAAGGTTGCGTGGTACGTCGCCCACTGATATCAGTCGGCTATCATCTCTTCCCCAACCTTTTTCTACTTTTCTCCCATCTCTGGAACTTATTGGAACCGAGTTATGAAGTACCGTGGCAAACCCCGCCCACTTTGGTGCATGCTCCGCCCGCCAACAACGGTTGACCCCTTTCCCTCTGCCAACCCTCATACGCTTTTTTCCCGGACTCCGGGACTCCTAGGAACCGAGTTATAAGCCTAATTGCAAACTCCGCCCACTTTGATGTAAGCCACGCCCATCCCTGACATTTAGCTTCCCCTCCCCTCCTGACCTCTATCCGTTGTTTTCCGGTCTCTAAGTCATCTCGGAGCCGATTTATGAGCTCTTGTAGAAAATGCTGTCCGCTTCACGACACGCTCCGCCCATTGTGGGCGGGCCTCCGTTCACATCATGCGTGGTGGAAATACCTTAGGCATTGCTCCCCTGCACTAATTTCGTTCCTGGTCTGTAGGCTTCCTCTTAACCGAGTTATGAATATTTCACTGAAAGGTCCAGCTCGCATTTCTAGAGAAGACGCGCGCCCGCCCACGCGATGTGTTGGTCGCCGAGTGCATCTTGGCTATCTGCCTTCAACCCACACCTATGCCCACTTTTGTCCCGGTCTCGAGGCTGTTTTGTGACTGAATTTGAAATCATGGTCCTCAGTACCACTCATTTCGACGCACGCCACGCCCACTGTGGGCGGGGCTCCGCTTAGGTAATGTATGTTTTTTACTTCTCGAGATATGGGTACACCCATCCCAAACATGACCTGGACCCAGTAGGTTGTTGTCCGCTTAATACTTCGAATTTCGTCGACAGACAGAACAGAGAACATCAGACGGAAGACTAGACCCCGCATATATAAGTGGATTATCATTCCGTTGACATTCGTATCATTCATTTATCGCTCATTGGGCAACTCCTATCATGCTCCAATCATAAGTAGAGTGAGATACATGGTATATTCGTTCAGAGGCCGGTCCCGAGAAGTACAGGAGGGTCAAAATTTTGAAAGGCAGGAACAACTAACGATTAAAGACATCAGCCTCTCCTGTCAACCAAATTAAGACTAACCAACTAAAGATTCCAGAATATATAAACGCACTGCTGTTGATCCCAATAAATGATAAGAACGCTGGCCGTTCTATTACAACATCTGCTCAAATCTGTTCGGCTGCGGTGGAACCGAATACAGCACGAAACTGTACTTAAAAAGTTTCGACCGACACCGATTTCTAGACACCTGTTTAGATCTTATTGGAGTGCATTCCACTGGATGATAATTATATTCCACAACTGAAAGATCTAGAGAAAGGTCATTCGAAAGATTGCTCTTCTCTATACTATCAGGTATGCTTTTTTGATCTTTCTTCTTTACTTCACACATCTACCATAGATATTTTTTTCGGTTCAATTCAAGGTGGCCGCCACTTACCTTTTTCTGAAAATTGTGAGCCTGATTCTTGGAAAGTATCTTTCCAACCACAAATTCTGAAACCATTCCTGCTCGATCATCGAGTATCTGATCTGGCAGATATTCCGATATTCTGAAGCACGATCTACAAGTGGCAATATTCGAAACAAGTAATCATTTGCTAAATTACGATGAATCTGCCCGTCTTTCCTGCTACTTTCGTCTGCCAACTGTCCACTCTTATCATTCATATATCTGCCAATGAATGACATGGAGAGGGCCGCTTAGAGTAGGCCTCAGTCATTATCAAGAAGTTCTTCCTGTAACATAGAGCATAGCAGAGCGTAAGGACAACTACCTACCTGCGAAATCGATCATTCAGACGCTAGGCCGGTGAAGACTCGATCATTCTCCTCCCAGAAAGGTTCAGGTGCCAGCCTACCGTTAATTCTTTCGTTCGCTTCCTTCGCCTCATCTCCCCCTCGCGCCGTGTCGATCATCGATCACTCCGGCTACTTTTAGCTGGCTAAGTTTTGGTAACTAGATCTCGATCAATTTCTTCTTTTTAACCTTGACGAGCAATGGCGGATTTGCACATAGCTTGCCGTGGATCACGCCTGTTTTTGCGCGCCACTCGCTCACTACTACAAGGCAAAATGTCTCTTATATAAAATTGCTGAAATTCGACTCTGTATAATTACCATTATAGCTGCAGTCTACGCTCAACCCGTAAATATTTTCAAGAAATTCAACATTTGGTCCCGGGAACTCGGTTCAATGGATAGAGAAGCAAATAACCACTAAAAATTCAAAGTTGCAAGGGAGAATTCCTGTCTCCATCTTCAAAGCCCCGCCCTTCCCATATCTGAGGCTACGAGAAGACGAAGAAGTCCTGATCACTGATTATTCTTAGCCTAATAATGCAGAACCTCAATCAATTTGCTGGCAAGCTACATAGCACATTCTAGAATTCTACATAAATTAGCTCTTAGTAGCATTTCTGTAATTTGTGCTAGCCATAGATATTATGGACTTGCTTATACTTATTGGGGTGTACAAATGTTTTGAATGCACAAAGAAGGAAATTTCAAAGGTGGCACCCACCGGTGGGTGCCATTGTTGTCTAAGGGTTAACGCTCGTGCCAAACGATGCCCTGTTGGGAGATTTTTAGGCGCAGGGTACCCTTGAGTTGCCTAGCCGAGCACATGATTCATGTAGAAAGTTATATAGGTCATATCCAAACGCAGTGATTGATATCAATACGCCTAAACTAGGCTGACTTTCTCTAGCTAATGTTTTCTTTCAGGGCTCGCTACAGACAGCAAGAACGGTGAGTGATGTAATATCCAATTTGTTTTGATGTCGTTAAAAAGACTGGCTATTTTACGCTTTCCAGTTTCTGTTATTTCTATGCATTATTCACTCCGTGAGTGAGAAGGTATAGTGGCAAGTGGCGCCACTTTTCAGGCGCTCGGTCCACGGTCAGGTCTCAAATCGAATATCGCCTAGGCCAACTGAAGGCAAACTCCGGAATTAAACTGGCGCTAAGAGCGCTTCGTAGTGATAGCTTAGCTGCGGAGCGACCCTCAATGAGAGGGAAGCGCAGAGAAAATTTTTGTTTTTTTTTGTTTTTTTTTTTTTTTCTGTTTTTTTTTTTTTTTTTTAGTTTTTTGTTTTTTGGGAATGCTGAACTTAAGGCCTTAACCTTCAACAAAGTTCGGATGTGGTACGACGGCAAGACAGGGCGATCAAAGAGGTCAAAACACGGGAGAGAGAACGTCGTTTGAGAGAGCACGCTGATCTCACCACATCTCGCGGTGGGTGGGAAGCGTTCGATGGTTGGAGGCCCGTAAGGATTAGCGCCCTAACCGCGCGATTTTCGCGACCAAGTTGAAGTGATCTAGGTAGGTACGGGTCTTACAATTTCCCTCGCGGTATCCTTCCTACTAGTCGGGCTAATCCCGGGGTTGCCTCTTAAGCTTCTATCCCTCCGCGTCAATCATTATCAGGATCTTTCACGGGAAGGATAACAACACTGACTTATACATTAGATGGTCCTCGCAAGCCACTGTAGGCCATACCGCATTCAAATGAAATGAAAACGATTACGAATGAAGTTAGAATGCTTAGCGCATCCCAAACGCGACTGGTCAAGTGTCTTTTTTAAAACTCATGGATCTGTAATCGGAGGGAGAATCAGATGTCGACGTCAACAACCGTTTTAGTTGGATTGAGATTTCTCCTCCAAAGGAGGGCTAGGGTGCAGGAGCCAGGACTGTGGTCGCATAAGGAAAAGATGTAACCACTGGTTGGATAGCCAAGCGAAAGAAGGGTAAGAAATTAATACGTTCATGGGTGTCAATTCGGGTCTGAAGCAGCTTAATACCAGCCAGGTCCATTCCTTCGAAACATTCTTGGTTTATACACACGTGCGCTTTGCTTACACTGACACCTCCTCGCGTTAGAAGAATTGTGCCAAGCAACCGTCTGCTCGTTCAGAATCATGTTCAAAAGCTCATGTGAACCTCAAAGGAGTCATGGGGTGCCCATTCGTGGATGAAGTAAGCAAACCAGCCCTTTTGGCGTTTCTGCTGGGACCGTATGCTGAATGTTGGGGAGGGGATGGGTCCCCGACGGTCGACGGACTACTTCAACTCGAAAGAGCGCAGGTCCGTCCTCTCTCCAAGGCTTAGTCCTGGGGTAAGCAAACCAGCCCTTTGGCGGAGCTGCTGGACCAGCTGCACCACTTGCGTCAGTACTCTCCTATCGTACCAACCGAGTTGAAGTAAGTCCGTCGACCGTTGGGGACCCCATCCCCTCCCCAACATTCAGCATACGGTCCCAGCCGAAACGCCAAAAGGGCTGGTTTGCTTACCTCGTTGTGGTATCTTCGTGTGAAAGAGGCCACGTTTGCATCACACATGCAAGCGCTGTGGAGTGCTCGAATGACCACGCTCTCGCTTATCGTGTAGTTAACTTTTGAACAACCTAGCGTTCTGACGAGCCTGTTCGGTATAGATAATCTAAATTGCTCCGCAAATCATAATTATACCATTTCCACCTCAATGTAGACACTAATCAAATGACTCAGACACTGCATTTCGACTCGATTTTTTCAGTGCTCCGCGGATATTTTTTTTTATTCGACCCGGTTTTTTTTAAGACTATTTATACACTTTTTAAAGTATTCCGAAGATTTCCCAAATCAAGAGACACGTTTTCAAAAACTTCCAAGTATGTTTTATCGGTAAAATTCAACTAAAAATTGACGGATGTGCTGGGATCTTCTAACCCAAGAACAAAGTTGAAAATCCTGTGATGTAAGGCCAATTACCCTGTATAAAATTGTGCTAGCAGGCCTTTTTCTTCAGCAAACCTCCACGAGACCATCCCGACTCTTCCATTCCCTTCTGTTTTGCGACCTCTTGTAATTGCCGCCATATTTTCTGTCTCGATGGATCATTACGCAAACATTAGTAAACGCAAACGTCAAACGTGGTCAGGGGCAGTACTCCATCCGTGCCCCAGAAAGGGGGATCAGAAATTCCTCTGAATTTATTTGTTTTCAACGATATAAACTCTTGTCTCTAAGCATATGTCCGTGGGAGGTAAGCAAACCAGCCCTTTTGGCGTTTCTGCTGGGGCCGTATGCTGAATGTTGGGGAGGGGATGGGGTCCCCGACGGTCGACGGACTACTTCAACTCGGTCGGTACGGTAGGAGAGTACTGACGCAAGTGGTGCAGCTGGTCCAGCAGCTCCGCCAGAAGGGCTGGTTTGCTCACCCCAGGACTAAGCCTTGGAGAGAGGACGGACAGGTCCGTCCTCTCTTTAAGGCTTAGTTCCTGAGGTAAGCATCAAATTGTGGCGGTTTAAGGACCGAGTTGAAGTAGTCCGTCGACCGTCGGGGACCCCATCCCCTCCCCAACATTCAGCATACGGCCCCAGCAGAAACGCCAAAAGGGCTGGTTTGCTTACTTCATCTGTTCTCACACCATATAATAACCCATAGACTCCATCTTAGGGTAACCTTGAATGGAGAAGCAGTAAAATTTGAAAGGGATTCTTTGTTTCCCTGGCGTGAGGGACAATATTCTGATGAGTGAGAAGAACTTACGATTGAAAGTAAGGGTGGCCATCCTTCATCTGTGCGTGTTAAGCTTGATATGAAAAGAATTTATCTTGAATTGAATAATGTCCTACGGTCTGAAAAAAATCCGAGTCGAATGAAAATTGTCCTGAGCTATTTGAAAAATCTCCGGGTCGAATTGAAAAATGTCCACGATTTTTTGAAAACAGCAAGCTTTGATTCTGATGGTGTCCTATTTTCAAGTGAGAATGGTATATATACAAACTTGATGTTTGATCTTTTGTTCCTTTCCGCTTTCTGAGGATTGAGTTTTTTATTGGGGTATTCAGAACTGAAAGCTGTGTTCTTTCGTGGAAGCAGGTCGACGCTTATCTCTTCTGGTTTTTTGCACCAATCTACGACTGGTGTTTACTATCGAAGGTAATTTTGCAAAAAATCATGTTTTGTACTCGTCAAATATTTTGTTACAAAGATTGCCAAAGGACCTTCATAATATCCGCTTTGACAATAATTTGTCAAACAGTTAGTTCGAATACCTATTATTCTAACATCTCATTATTTCAAACACAAGTTTGCTGTTGTTGCGTTAACTTTGTTCCAATGTTGAATTGATTGCTCAGTTTTCGATCTTGAGCTGTTTTGTTTTGTTCCTATTTTTCGCACTACATAGGTTTTAATCTCTAGCGCCTGTCTTTCAGTGCGAGATTCAGAGGCAGGGGTCGCGATTAGATCCTCAAGACGATTCTCACCTTGAGCGATTTTGTAGGACACCTAATCAGGGTTGCTGGTACTGTCGCCACTCGTAAGTGTGCGATGAAGGAGCCATTCTTCTGTTTGACCGCTTCCATCCTTGTCATGCATACGGGGGGTTCGCTCTCACGTATGACATGTTTTCCGTTTCCTCGCAGTGCCGTTACTCTCGTATACAACTTCTCGAAAGGAAAGTCCAGTGTTTCTGTAGTGCTTTTTACTTTTATCCTCACTGGCGCTCCACATCGCGTTTCGAATCAACATTCGTGGAGGGTATGCGTATGCACAAAAAGGCCCTTGTAAGTAATGATTCTTATCGGAATCATATTAACATCAGCAGGTACCTCAGCATTGGCTTCGACATTGAAGGCAAAGCGGTATTAGCCCGACTTGTGGGAAGGATACCGCGAGGGAAATTGTAAGGTCCGTACCTACCTAGATCACTCCAGCTTCGTCGCAAAAATTGCGCGGTTGGCGCTAATCCTTACGGGCCTGCAACCATCGACCCCCGTTGCAACGCTTCCCACCCACCTCGATGTAGAGATCAGCGTGCTCTCTCGAACGGCGTGATCTCTCGCGTGTTTTGTCTTCTTTGATCGCCCTGTCTCGCCATCGTACCACATCCGACCTTATTGAAGGTTAAGGCCTTAATTTCAGCGTTCCCAAAGATTTCTCTTGCTTTCCTTCCACTTTCAGGTCGTTCCGCAGCTAAGTCATCACTACGAAGCGCTCTTATCACCATTTTTATCGGAGGGCTTGCCTTTGATTTTATTAGCGGTTGGTCCTTCCTCCCCGCCTCCTGCGCCTGTTCCCCTTCCATTTTCCTATACAGCACCATGTGGATGGACGAGGGCGTTATCCATGGATGTCTTTTCGCCTGGGGTGTTAGCACAATCGTGCCATTCAGAATTCGAATATCGCAATTCGAAAGCCATATCGCACTGTTGGTTTGCTTTATTCCATTAGCTGCCTTCATTTTGAAACGGAACAAACGTACCGAAATACATGTATACGTACCCTCCCTTTCAAAAACGAGAAGAGCGTCGGTGCAGACCATACACCACAAGTGACGACGGCCTCCAAGTAAATCTGGTTAGTAGTGTTCATAGTGATAGCTGATTTTGGTAAATGATAGTTGTAATTAGTGACAACTGATAGAATACAACTGCAACAGGCTAATCATTTCATTGGCAGAAAACATTTACATTTTGTGAAGGCCGTCGTCACTTGTGGTGTATGGTCTGCACCCGACGCTTTCTCGTTTTTTTTGAAGGGAGTAGTAGGTGAACTGACACACCAAGATAGCAGTTCATATAATAACAAGCAATTTTATTCCAGCATCAGCAGCTAAGGAAAATGCTGAAGGAACGGTTACGTCAATTGAAGCCACGGAATAGATGAGCAGCGGTTGTGGGACGAAAAGGATTGTGACCATGGGCCGGCTGAACTTTATTGTAATTATATTTGATAGTATTATAATATACCATTTCCACTTGAATTGCTACTTCTCTCAGCGTTTTAGATCCTTTGAGAAGGTTCGCTATGGGCCCACAATCACTTCCTAGCCATCTTTTGGACAGAATTTCTCGCCGGTTCAATCACTTTTTCATGGTTTACGCAGTTCATGCGTTCAGGTACCCTTTTTTGGTATGGCTCTCCATTTTTTTGATCACTGTAGCAATCATAGGGAACGCATTCGAATTTGTGAAAATGGTGACAGCTTTCAATTTCACTTGATTCCTTGTACTGCACAGAAACCGCCACAAAGATTCAGTCAGGTTTGCCTTATCTTCTAATCTCTACCTATTTTCAAACTAATGAGAAGATAAAAAGAGAAGAGACGAAGTCAGGATAAAGAAGAAAAGCAGCGATTAGTGGTTACTTGGAAATAACCCTAAAGCAATGTTTTTTTTCATTCCTCCAGGATTATTTATTTCTAAATCATCGCTCTTCAGTTATGAACTTCAAAAAGGGATCTCAGAACAAATCAGATGATATTTCATGAAGACTCAGCTTGTTTAGTCGCCATTTTGGAGTCCTTCTTCAATCTGTCATAGAACTTCTTTTTACCAATTAATCATCCTAACTGAAGGAGCGAAATGAGGGCGAGCGTAAATCTAAATTTTGCGATGCATGGCTAAACGCATTTGTTAACTTACTTTAAAAGTGATTATATTAGGTTGGTGCAAAAGTCTTGAGACACAAATTTACATGGATCGTCATGTCTCTACAAGAACCTTTGCCACCGTCATGATTTCACCATATTCTAGAACAATCTCAGAGTTACCGCTAGCAGTATTTAAATAGGTCCCGAGCCCTTTTGTATAAACCATGTCAAGAAGTCTTCGAGCAATCGTCTTCTACGAATGGCGCCGCGGTTCCAGTGCTCGTTCCACTGCCTCCAATATCAACACTGCATTCGGAGAGAACCTCGTCAGCCATGCGACGGTTAGTCGTTTATTCGCTCGTTTTCAGTCTGGAGATACGATGCTCGACGACGATCCTCGCTCCGGGCGACCAGTTGTTATCGAAGACGACCGACTTCTCAGCGAGGTGAAGGAGAAGCCGGAGGCTACGAGCAGGGAATTGGCGGAGCTTCTCGAGTGCGATCACAGCAACGTCGTTCGACACCTTCACGAGCACGGTTACAGGAAAGTTTTCGCTCGATGGATTCCGCACCAACTGACCGACGATCTGCGTCACACGCGTGTCTCAATCGCGCAGTCGCTCCTCCTTACCCCAAATCGGAAGGAGTTTTGCAGGATCTGGTGACCGGGGATGAGAGCTGGATCTTCTACGACAACAAC